GTGTGTGTGTGTGTGTGTGTGTGTGTGTGTGTGTGTGTGTGTGTGTAAGTTAGTGCTTTGCTTCTCCCCACCTGTTCAAATGTCCTCTTGTGTTTGTCAACTGAAACAATGATTATGTACTCAAGGTACCTAGAAATATTTGACTATGGGTTACAGATGCAAACGATGGATTTGTTTATTTTTTTCCTTATTTGGGATGTGGGGTTTGATTCGTAAGAGTAACAAATATTATAAGTTTTTAATGTTCAGATATCTAAAGCAATCAAATATACTTTTAAACTAGGCTGAAGTGATATAACTAGCCATACAGCTAAAAGTTATGACATTTTTAGATTTATGTAACTCTAACAATAACAGACAATTAACTATTAATTTGTTAAAGTATTGAGGAATGTTTTTCAGGTTGTTGTTTATGTCAGAACTGTTACAACCTGCAGTGCATAGTGACATTAAGGGTGAAATGATACTTGTGTTTGTACTGAACTGTTATAACCCAAACATCTGGGATAAGTACTGAGAACCAGATGGAGAATATGTTAGTCACCACTACCGTTTAGAAAGGGTATAAAGTGGAGTTTAGATATATCTCTACAGTAACAGTACTGACAGATTGTAGATTATTCACTGTACCATTGTTACCTTTGTTACCATTTTGCAGTTACGTACTAGCAGCACTGTTAGTCAGTCTGTTATTGTTACCAATATGCACATCTTCCTAGAAACACTGTAACCAGTAGCTTTAGTRGCTTTAATGGTAACAGTGTTGCTGGTAAGTTTAGCTAAAATACAAGGAAATGGATGACAGTGTGTACACTGTACGTCATGTCCTGTTGAAGAAATAAATGAGAAGCATGACATAAWGAAACTGCCTGCAGTGACAATTAAACTTGAGGACAAGTTAAACAGAAAGAAGGGACTCTGCAGGAGAAAGTGTGGTACAGATGATAAAGAAAATGGRAGGTATATTAAAGACCATGGTGCACTACTTGCCTTCTTTTTGTGTCTTTATTTATTACAGAACTAGTTTRGAAATATCTGTGACTTACATTTTGTACTCTAAACAGTTTATTTTGTTTTACACTCAGATTTATTTTAAGATTTTCTGGGGGAGGTTTAGGCTCTCAAAACCGKTGGCAATTCTTTTTAGCTTGAAACACTATAATCTGTGGTTGATTTTTGTTCTATCTGTCATCACAGACATGAACTAGAAGAACKCTGCAATGACTTTTAGTGTCAGAAGAAGAACGCAGATAGAAAATAGGCTGGCTGCTTGCCAGTTAATCTGTTACCTCCATCTCACTCACGGCTGCCTGTGCTGCGTTTGCAGTGTTTGATTTTAGTTTGTTGACATTGTTACTCTTGCTTTTGTTCTCTCCAGCTGGATGGGGACACCATGTTCCTGGGTATGCCAGAAGCAGGCCTTGACTTCACCTCGACCAATCAGGTTAGTGTGTGTACCATGCAGTTTGTTTATTTTTGTGCGCAAGATACAAAAAAGAAGATATCCCTGTAAATTAGTCTTTGTGACATCTTCTAGTTTCAGATGGCATCAAGCTATTTTCTGATTTAGCTGTGCAACATGTACAGTAGAGAACCAGCTGTGGAAAAAAATGTACATGTGGGGAAAAAAATCAAAACTGCATAGAAACAACCCTGATAGGATTAAATGCTGAGTGTCATTTTGTTAGAATGACACAGGATGTTGTTTGACTTCTCTCTAATAAAATGCGGTTACACATCTTTGAGCAACCTTTGCTGAAGCAAACCAAAAAAAAAGAGAAAAATGCAGTAAAATATTGGTCTTAACCATCAAAATCTCTGTTACACAGTAGGGTATGACATTTGCAATGTTCAAAGAACCATATGACTACAGTCATCARTAAAGTTGGTGTTCAGATACTTTTTGATGCATTGATGATAAAAATTTTCTTGACTTTTTTCTTGTAAGATCATTTGATCATTCCCCATTTTGCCTTTGAGCTCACCTTTGGCCATTTCAGGCTTATTTATTTCCAGTTATATTAAACAAACTTCCTCCCTGTTCTGTTTTATAAATCAATATCACTCACAGCTCACAGCAAGAGGCATCACAGTGTACTTCGATCTCCAAACTCTCTCATTTCTTTGACTAATCGAGAACTGCTGCTTCTGATGTGCCRTTTGTGATTGTTGAACATGTGTGTATAGAAGCCAGAACAATATTTTAGTTTCTCTTTTCATACACTTTACTCTTACTTGCCTTTAAAATATWAAAAAACAGACTTCTTCTGTAGTTATATTGGCATGTGACAGTGTTGATTGTTTTGTCAAAAGAAAGAATGTTATTTTGGTTTAAGACAAGGCCACAGCTTTTATTCTTTTTCAAATTGACGTTTTCCATGCTCATAACTTGTAATTATACTGATAATCAAAATGATAGTAGCTGATAATAATATGATTACTGCCATATCAAGCATTTTAGAAAAAAAGGCATTTGGTGATGAACTGCTTGTGGCAAATGGATGGAAGTTACTTTAAGAAAACACGACGTTCATTACGTAAAAGTAGAGCTTTTCTTCAGAGAAGCTGATGTGTTTTCTGCTGCCACTCCTGTGCGATGACAAACAGAATAAAGTTTAGCTGCTTTTATATTACTTGAYGACAGCTCTGGAGCTGCGCTATACAGCAAACAGTTTTTCTTAATGCAACTGCATTCAGAATAAAGCTTCCCGGGGCCAGACGTTAAAGCTTACTATGAGTGTTTGTTAGTGCAGAATTACCTCACCACTGAGGAAAGCCCATATTAATAAGAAGTACTACTACATTATTCATAAAGAAGCATATAGAGAATATTGTGGGGCGTAGAGCTGAATGATTTGATGTTTTATTCATAGTGTTGTTCTGTAGTAGGGAGCGGTGAGTGGAATAAGAATTTATGGCTTTATTATTGAAGTACCATTTCTTCCATAAAGTCAGAGGTTGTTATGATGAATATGATCAATTTAAGTCCAGTCTGACTCTCATCCTTCTCATTCTTTTAATGTCTTAATGCACAAGAAGAGACTGAACTGCTTTAAAGCTGAAATATGGAGACTGTAGACATAAACAGAGTGCAATGTTTTTTCAGAGAGAGATATAGATTGTCATTTTATAATCCAGTACAGTTTTACACATTCAGACCTGTCATACGAAGCATCTGTGTTTGATCAATGCTGGCCTGCTTTGGTAAATTCTGTTCCTTTTATTAAAAGACTCTGCCTCTTGAGTTAAAATTATTAATGCTGTAAAACATTTATTTTCTTCTTGTTGTTTTTTTATGTTATGTCCCTTTTGTTTTGTTTTTTCATAAATATTTTTTACAAGTAACATTATTATATTAAACTTGAATACACAAAAACTGTCCAAAATCATGAATGTTGGGTTAATTGTTGGTTGAATTTGAAATCTGAGGATGAGTCCAGTGATGGTCTGCAACATGTCGATGGTTCACACTGCAGCCCCTTTAACCTGTTTATGACTGAAGATAGTTTAGAACAAATTAGGGCCACCATCTTGTTTTAGAAGTTTCTCTGCCCCATCCCACCTGAGTCAACGAGTGATAAACAAGCTTCTGTAGAACTTGAAGAGGTTATTCGGTCAATGGATCAGATATATTGGAGAAGGGAAACAAGCAAAATATGTAGGATAGACCAGGTTTGGACACCCCTGGTTTTAGACAAATTGTATTCCAATGAACAGAAAGTAGGGTTAGGGTTAATATATCTCGATCACAAACCATTGCAAAATACTGACTTTGAGCATACACATTAAAAACTATGAAAAGGTCGCTGATCTGACAGCACATGTGAACTGTAGTTCTTGTGGTTTGTACCTCAAATGTTGCTGTGCAGTTTTCACTGTGTGGGAAAAAAAAGTTCTGTTGCTTTGACCTTTTTGTCTGAGTAATATCTCTACATGCCACAAGTCAAAACTGTTTTCTGTAACTTAGAAATACGATAAGAATTGTGTAATTTTATTGTTTGGATTAGAAATTTTAGTTATAAAGAAATGTATGTCCTTGAAATAAAATAAAGTAATACAACTTTAAAACATTTGGTGTCAGTTCTCCAGCAGCAACAAAAAAGCAGATTTTCTTTGTTGTTTTAATGTGGCAGCATTTTATATATGTGTGTATATATATATA